TTGAGACAACTTGCCCTCACAAACCTTAACCTGCAAAACATGGTTCCGCATATATTATATAAAGACAAAGTGTTAACCATAATATATCTTACTTTTATAGTCTCTGCGCTTCCTCTTTTTTTAAAGGTAGTCTGAATGATGACATGTCCTAGATTTGCACACGTTCTCTCAGAAACAAACCATGGAGCCTCTAAACGTTTATAGAAGCTTGAGGTTTATATATTATTCATCAAAAACATCCTAATAGATAACATTGGCAAAACTAATGGGATCCACCAAGAACCTTTTGATGTTCTAATCGTGAATTTGTGGATTGGTTACCATGGGAACATCCTCATGAGGGACGAACCCTTCTGCGTCCGTACTGGAGAAAATGATTTTTGGTATTGGGGTTGATTTTTCTAAAAGTGGTGTTCTGGCAATATGTATCATCTGTGTGGTATAATTTTTCTTGGATGAGCTGGAGTTCCCACCTCCTACAAAACCTTCTACAATTGTGTTCAAAGTGTGGTGTGGTTTTCTAGGCTCGTGTCCTTCCTCAACACTTCAACTTCTTTAGTGAGGGGGGTTTTTCATCTAGATTCTTTTTATGGTGAGGTCATCCTTTCCGAGTCGTGAGCATTTCCCTAGACATACCTCTGCAAAAAACTTCCTTGAATAAGCTTTTCAATCTCTCGTTTTAGATGATGAAAGTCATCTGTTTGGTGGCCTTGTATCATGTGGTACTTGCACCATTTTTTTAGATCATTTTTAATGGAATATCCCTTAGGATCATGTGGCTCAAGAATAATTTTGACACGGTAAACGTCTTGTAAGACACGTTATCTCCTAATATTTAACAGAGTGAAGCATCCAATGGGCTTCTAAGATGAATTTGAAGTAACTTTATCACTTATTGATAATTTCATTTTGATTTTTCTACTATCTGATTAGTTCCGATTTACAAGTCCTCTCTTTCATGACTCTGGTTCTCTTCTATGCATTAATTTTGTCTCCCTTTATGTAACATTACTCTCTGGCTATGATCTCTTCCATTGAGGACTAGCTGAAGAGTCTCACTTTTAATCCATTATGAAAACATCCCATGAACATCTCTTGATTTGGATGAACGATGTTGGTAGTTTATTCGTTAAAATGTGCCAAATATTCTCTCAAGGAATCTGTTGATGTGGTAAAGCAGCAAGCAAAAATATTAAGTATCCAGTTTTGTCGTCTCCACAGGGATTAGTGCGATATGAACACCGTTCAACAGCCTCTACATTTCTAAGCCTATTGTTCAAACGTTTTGGTTTAAAAGGTTCAAGGAACCATAAATAAAAACAGAAAATATAAAATAAAGACTGAAATATAAACGGAGCCTTGTTGAGATTGGATTTCATCAATTGATAACATATGCATTCTTCTGATCAAATTAAACACAACACAATCATTCGTCTAATATCACCACGTATCAACCACGACAAAGCTTATCTCTAAAGCAGCGTCGAGAGAACAACCATGTTGTCTCATTGGAGATCTCTCTTCCAACAAAAACACAACACAACATATTAAGATCTGATACTCAAGCAAATGCTAAGCCTAAACCTATCTCTAGAATTTAGGACCTAACAGGTAATCATCCTAGATCTAGATCTGAAAAGTATATCTCTATCATGGTTCAGATCAAAGATAAACAGGTGAACAAAGATGACACCCATATTGGATAAACGATTATTTTGCATAAAACACAATGATCAGAATACGTACACACGCTTAACCCTTTTTTACATGTATTCATCTAATCTGTCAAACGGCTGTGAACATCGTTCTTCATCACTATTATCACATACCCACACAATATCATATTGATCCTACCCATGCTACCCATGCTACTTAATCAACACAACACTATAGAAGATACAATGAATATCAACTTCAAAACCATGTCAAAAGTTTGTTCATTGATAGAAGAAAATATGAGATCAAAGATGTGAAATGGTTTTGTCAAGACCCACAAATACATAATCAACGATAAACAATCAATAGAGAATCCAAACTAGTTCACAAACATAAATTAGATGAAATACACAAGGTATCAAAAGATTACAATCCAAACCCCAACAAGAGATCAAAGATCTTACTTCCTCCCTCTTAGGGTTTTGTGTTTCTCTCTCAAAAAAATGAAGAGAGATAAGTTCTGATGTTCCCAAAATGTTACAATATGGAATTATACAAGTTATGGAAGTTATGACCTAAAAAAACAAGAAAATCCTTAAATAATACATTCTGGACCTGTCACGCTCGCCTAGCGAGCAGATTCTTCGCCTAGCGAACACTTAAGTTTGGCACGTGAGGTGCCTCTGATCTAACAAACCGACTCTGAGACTTTTCCACATGCTCGCTAGGCGAGCAATTCCTTCGCCTAGCAAAGCCTTCGCTGCCTGTTCGCCTAGCAAACTTTGGTCTTTTTCGCCCCTGTCCAAGTCTGGGAGTGTTCGCTGGCAGCTCGCTGAATGCTCGCCTAGCGAATGCTCGCTACCTACTCGTTGCATGGTCGCCCAGCGAAGCTTGCTGTTGTTTGCATGTTGTCTTGGTTTCCTTGCCCATTTCTTGTGTCTTACTTTGCACTTGTTTTGTACCTAATTCCTGCACAATAACACACAAATCAAAGGTACTAAGAGATTTTCACAATATATTGCAAACCAAACAAAGCAAGAGTGGTTTTCAACACTTTCTTGACAAAAATGAGTGAAAGATACCAACATTTGATAGATCAAATAAGTGAAATTTGGCATCTAACAGAATCAATATATCATTGTAGAACATTAAAAGGCTCATGGTGGAGACTTTCCTATGTTTGCTAGCCAAAAAATGATGGATCATCTTTTTTGTCTTGTCCTAGTAACTAGTTGTGGAGAACATTTGGAGACTCATATACCATTAAAGAGATGTTTCTTCAATGTTCTAGCCATTATTTTCATTTAGGATAGTCAGTCATCTTGATAATGGCCATTTGTGTGTCTATAGCAATAATGTCCTCTTAAGGATCACTTTTTCTATTAAACATCGCTAGGGATGGAGATTTGAAGTTTTTTGGAACCTTTACATCCCAAATCTCTGCCTCTAAAGGCTCATGATCTATGTGGTATTCCTTATCAATGACTACCGGAAGTAGTTGTTGTTGTTATTATTCTTTTAGTTGTTATAGGTCCCTTGCTATCACTTGTAATATATCTCGTTTAAGCGACGTAGTTCCGCCATAGCGGTGAGCATATGACAACTTTGTCACTACCACTGGTGATTGGGGTTGCTCTTACCATCAAGAAATGATAAAAGGGTTTATGTTTGAATATGGTTGTATGGCTAATGATAGTTTTATTGAGGTCCACAATGGCGCCAAATGTACATGCTCGTTATAGTGGTTGGTAACTCCATAAATGATAGGCGAAAAGTCACAAATATAACTTTGAGTGTAACTCGTACATAAAAAAAATGTATTATTTTTTCCTTATTTGATGGTATGGTTTTAATCCATGAATCTCATTGATTGACCATTAATACATGTGTTTCCTCGTCCACTTGGGAGCCATTAATGAGAATCAAGTTTTCTGTTACTTTGTTTGGCTAGACAACTTCCAGAAATTTTTTTCCTTTCGAGTCTATCTCCAACAAAGTCTGCCAACATCACCACCTCTTTAGTTGCTTTGTGTCTTCTCTAATCCAACTAGCCTCCCTCTTGCTGATTTTGGCCAATCAAAATGTTATAGCCTCCTCTAATTTTGTTGTCGAACCACTTGCCTTTTCCTTTCTTTTAAATGACTATTTATAAAATTTAATTGCTCTACTCATGTGTGTAAATGGTACTAATCAGAAATGATATATATTTAATTTGGGTCGGTCTAGTCGATCTGGCCCATATAAGTTTGTCGTGGTTGATCCTTTCATGTGGCTGGGTTAAAGCATAGCAACTTATGTAAAGTTTTATGTAAAGTTTGAGTTCCAACCTAAACCAAATTACTAAAATATACATATATTATACATAAATGTAGAACATGAACATAATATATATTCATTTAGAACAATTGTATATCTTTTACCATTGATTCTCTTAGATCTTCATATTTGTGAAATCATTTCATTGCAATCCATATATAACTAATAAATCCTAAATATAACTCAAAGATTGTTAAAACTTTTGTCCTGTATCTGCATCAAAATTTGAACAAGAAAAAGATAAACATGACATGTCGTTACTTCAATAAATCTCAGTGTATATCACACTAAACTTTATGTTGAATCGTATTCACCAATTTAAATAAATTAGAAGTAAATGGATAAATTTGCGAACTCATTTCAAAATACTTTGCAAATCATGACATATTTTTTTACTTTCATATTAAATATATTGGTATTGATAATATTTAAAAAATACTTTTTTTTTCAAATATTCTCATGCATTATAAAATAAAAGGACCAACATTGAAATAAAATATCTCACTAAACATCTATAGATAATTAAATTAGCATATAAAATATTTATGCATATGCGTTAAGCAAAAATAAAATCTATCTCCCTTATATTTAATCTCCATTTAACTCAAAATGCAATCTATCTCCCATAGATTTAATTTTCTTTCAATTTTTTACATTAATATTTTTGTTTCTAAATTGGAGTCTAAAATCATAACAAATTTAAATTTTTGTATTCTATTTATCTTAAGACCAAACTCCAAAATAAATCATCACCCACCCATCCATAAGATAACATTTTCAATATTTGTGACAAGTTTTAAAGGTTGTTTAGAATAATAGGATAATATTAGGTGAAAGAGAAGTCAATATATGTTATTTATGGCAAATAAAAAAGAGTGGAGTTTGTGTTGATGACATAGATATAAGAAGGAGAGGTTTTGTAGGAACAAGATTGTTTGTTCACTCTCTTGTTTTCTCTTTCTATCTCTTTCTTCAAAAAAGCATAAAGAAAAAAACTCATTCAAAGAAAGAAAGATCTATATATCACAATGGCAGATCAACTCACAGATGATCAGATCTCTGAATTCAAGGAAGCCTTCAGCTTGTTTGATAAAGATGGCGATGGTATGTTTTAATCTATCGTAATATATTTCTCTTTTCATTATTTTTCATACCATTTTTATTCCATGATTCCCCTCTCATGATAGTCATTGTTTTTGGATCAAACTACACAATAAAATAGAGAGATAATTAACATCTCAAAATCCTTTTATCTATTATTGATCCAAAATTTGTGATTAACATTTGAAATCATGGTAGGACAATTGCAATATGAAAAACATTGAAAATCCTAAAATTTATAAATCTTTTATCTATCTACGCAACATCGATATTTCAAATTGAAAATATGTTTGATCTATAACACAAATACTTTATATGACATCGATATTTCAGATTGAAGATATGTTTGATCTATAACTAAGACACCTTCTATGACATCGATATTTACATTCAATCATTCTTCTGTTTGTTATGATAATTGCATCACATTTTATGTTGTAAATGAGTTTTGCAGGTTCCATCACAACAAAGGAGCTTGGAACTGTGATGAGGTCATTAGGCCAAAATCCAACAGAGGCAGAGCTACAAGACATGATAAACGAGGTCGATGCGGACGGTAACGGAACGATCGATTTCCCTGAGTTTCTAAACCTTATGGCGAGGAAAATGAAAGACACGGATTCGGAGGAGGAGCTGAAAGAAGCATTCAGAGTATTCGATAAGGATCAGAACGGATTCATTTCTGCTGCAGAACTTCGTCATGTGATGACGAATCTGGGCGAGAAGCTAACTGATGAAGAAGTGGATGAGATGATTCGAGAGGCTGATGTTGATGGTGATGGCCAAATTAATTATGATGAATTTGTTAAGGTTATGATGGCCAAGTGAAATGAATCACCAAACCTATATACAATACTACTACACCTTATATATGTATAACCTTTCATCAATTCTCGTTTATTTATTCAATATCATCGTTGGAATGTAGTTGAGATGTTATATAATAAAATTTCTTCTGTTACATTTTCATTCACATGATTGTTTTTCATTCTGCATATCAAAAGCTACTCAAACATATAAAATTTATTGAGTTAGCAACACTTTGGCGTATTGTAAATGGTGCATATCATTGCCTTTCCACCACAGTTGTTATGAATAACCGATGTTATAAGTTATAAACATGTGTCTTACCACAGTTAGAAGAACCAATCATGGTGAATAAGTTTTTTTTAGGTTCTAAATTTTTTATTTTACATAAATCTCTTTAGTATAACTTGTATTCTTGTGATTCGTTTTTTGGTGTCATGTCTCTAAACACTTATAATTAGAATAATAATACTTATTAGTATAACACATATTTACGCACATGTAAAAATTATTATAAATTATAACAAACAATAAATTATGAATAAAAAAAATATTTGCTTGTTGTTAAATTTTTCATAGGTCTTTTTCATGATCATATATAACAAATAGTATGCACATCGTATGTATCAACTTCTTCAAATGAAGTAGGTACATATGTTGCGAAAGAAAGGGTCTCAGAAATATCATAATTTAAATTTTAATTTTCATCACTATGACGAATGTCTTTATACATTAGTGTTACCGTCAATCCACTTACATTTTAATATATACACTTTGAATATAACATAGTTAATCTTTTTAATTTCCTTAATAACCCCGAAGTATGATCTATATGCCATTATATGAGTCTTATCTTTGAAAGTAGAGAATTACATGGATCCAGCATCAACCATAACTCGACTTTTTCGCATTTTAGTACAATCATCCTTTGATTTTGAATAAAAGAATAAAATTTGCTAATGTTGTATGCAGTCCAAGACACTATATTAAATTTAGGCACGTATGAAATCCATTTAATTGCCTCTAATGCATTCCTATTTTTAGAAATTCTTTCAGTAAATTAATTTATGAAACTCTTGTCATACTCTTTCAACAATCATATGTCATTCATCTGAAAGTATTTTTTTTTGATAAATTTTTTATGAACAGATAAGAAAGATTGAACTTCATCAATATTATTTAATATATATTAAAGAGAACACAATTTTAATTTTATATTGTGGTTTAAAGATTGAACTCTGGAATCGCACGTGTAATCCAATCAATGCTTATGTCAGATATATAAGAAAAAGAAATCCATCATTATTTAACATGTTATATTTAGGGGATATTGAGTGTATGTCGGAATTGAAGTATTCTTCATTTCATGTACTGATGTTTGATTGCAAGTGGATTAACAACAAAACGGCTTTCACATTCATGATTTGAGGTACACTTATGCTCTAAACATATATCTTTATTTATCTAATGATCAACTCAAGATTGTGTAATGTTAATCAAAACTCTAATTAAAAGACTATAAAGTCAATTTAAAGATTAATAGGACAAGAGTTTATTCACAACTCTAAATTTTAATTGTTACTTATCCTTGAGTAATAAAAGTATCTAAATCTATTTACTTTTCTGCTGTTGAACTTCATCATCAAATAACCAACCTTGGGGAAAAATTAACTGATGAAGTATTTGATGAAATAATTTGAGAGGCTAATGTTGATGGTTGATCTATTGTTGCACATAGGTTAAAAACGAGTAAATAAAATGTGTAGTTTAGAGAAGCGGTACTTGAGAGTCGTATTGCAAAGACTCTTTAATTTTTTTTTACCATTTGAAAATGATAGGGTTTTAAGTTTTAGTTTTCGAATAATATAGCAGTAAAAAGGATTTGATTACGAATAAGCAAAATGGATTATCCTATTCATTTGATCCCCTTTTCTGAGTTAAGAAAACAGATTTTGAATTAAGCAAACAGATTAGACATACGGGAATTAAGCAAACGCGGTTTACAGAACATACATCAATTGAAATAAATCAATACTATTGTTATGAACTATGCACTGAATAAGAGGAAGATTGACAGTTTATTGATGGAATAATTCGAGTACAGGGATAACAATAGAAGGTAAATACGACAAATTGCAAGTTGGATAAAAGAAGAGTAAATCCTAGCGGATCCGAGAGAGAGAGAGAGAGAGAGAGAGAGAGAGAGAGAGAGAGAGAGAGAGAGAGAGAGAGAGAGAGAGAGAGAGAGAGAGAGAGAGAGAGAGAGAGAGAGAGAGAGAGAGAGAGAGAGAGAGAGAGAGAGAGAGAGAGAGAGAGAGAGAGAATTCACACATTCCCCCCTTGGCTCCTAGTGAATTGCTGCTATATATTGTATTTCTTATTGGGTTTTCTCTCTCTGATGCTCCTTCTCAATCCCACATTTTGTGGATCCTCAGCCACGTGTTTCCCATTCTGTTTACACAGTCCATCATTATCACTCATCATTACCTCGTCATTGCTCATCATTGGTGTGTTGTTTCCCACATTCCTTACACGACTTCCCTCATTGACATCAACATTGTCCTCAAGGTTGAAATTAGGAAAAGTATTAGACATGTCATTGTGATCTTCCTATGTTGCCAAGGATGCATCCAAGTTTTGCCATTTGACTAGTACTTGAGGCACAGTGATAGGACCCTTAAAGATAGTGCGCTTCTTCAAAACATGTTCTGGCACCATTATCAGACCTAATTCTGAAGTTGTACTTGGCAACGGAGAATAAGAGACAGTATCATCAGCCGGAAATTTCTTGAGTTGTGAAATGTGAAAAACGAGATGGATGCGTGCAGTGGGGGGTAAGGCTAGCTTGTAAGCCACCGAACCAACCTTGGCAATTACCTTGAAGGGACCAAAATACTTAAGGCTCAGTTTCTGATTCTGTCTGGCGCTGACAGTGACTTGTCGATACGGTTGCAGCTTAACCAAAGCGAGGTCGCCAATCTCCAATGTAACATGCTTTCTCTTCTTGCCAGCCTGATTCTTCATTAATTGTTGAGCCTTATGCAGATTTTGTTGTAACTGAATCAGAATATTTTCTCTCGTTAGAAGCTGAGCATTGACATCCTCATCCACACCTTCAGTATTGACAATGGATCTAGTAAGGGATGGAGGGTTTCGACCATATAAAGCCTTAAAAGGTGTCATGGCAGCACTAGTTTGGAACGTAGTGTTGTACCAATACTCAGCTAAGTGGAAGACCTTCGACCAAATTTTGGGGTTGTGGAATGTCAGACATCGAAGGTACATCTCAAGGCATTTGTTCAAAGCTTCGGTTTGGCCATCACTCTGAGGGTGATAAGCTGAAGTCATGGCAAGTGTGGTTCCCTGAAATTTAAATAACTGTTGCCAAAATTTGCTTGTAAAAACCTTATCCCTGTCTGAGACTATGGACTTTGGCATGCCGTGGAGTTTTACGATATTCTTGATAAAAATTTCAGCCACCCCCTTACTATCATAGTCAGTTTTTAAGGGAAAGAAATGGCCAAATTTGGTAAGCATGTCTACAACCACAAAAATGACAGTAAAACCACCAGAGTTTGGCAATCCTGTTATAAAATCCATGGCAATATCCTCCCAAACCTGAGTTGGAATAGGTAATGGATTAAGCAACCCGGTTGGCAAGGAAGTAGAGTGTTTGACCTGTTGACATATGGCACATAGCTTCACATATTTTGTGATGTCATGTTTCATTTGTGGCCAATAAAACTGACTGCAAATGCGAGCGATAGTTCTCGTAATTCCCTCATGGCCTCCCACAAAGGAATTATGGTATTCCTACAAAACCTGTGGAATTAAAGAACTCTTAGGGGGAATAGCAAGCCTATAATTCCAATACAATAAACAATCCTTCACAGCATAACTCGGGTGAGGCGCTTGATCACTCAAACATGCTTGAAAAATCGGCCCAAAGTGAGGGCAATTCCGTATGGCGGTTTTGAGCTCGTGTAAGAATAGTTGTTGTGGTTCACACCAGGCTAATACAAACATACGAGAAAGTGAGTCAGCAACAATATTCTCTTTGCCTGGCTTATATTCAATGGTGAAGTCAAACCCCAAGAACTTGTGCAACCAGGCTTGTTGCTCCGGTGTTTGTAAGGATTGGTCCAACAAGGCCTTTAAACTCTTCTAATCGGTGTGAATGATGAATTTATGGCCTAACAAGTAATGTCTAAACTTAGCCATAGCATCAGTGATTACACGAAATTCTCGGAGATAAGCTGATTGTTTCTGCACATTTGGCCCTAGCTTCTTAGAGAAATACGAAATAGGGTGGCCGTGTTGACTCAACACTGCTCCTATGCCTGAACCTGATGCATCAGTCTCCAAGATAAATGGCTGAGAGAAATCTGGAAGAACTAACACAAGAGCAGAAGTGATAGCTTGCTTCAATGTGAGAAATGCGACATGAGCCGACGGAGACCAGGAAAAATTGTCTTTCCTTAACAAATCAATCAGAGGAGAAGCAATAGTAGCGCAAAACTTAATGAACCTGCGATAATAGCCAATGAGACCTAGAAACCCTCTCAACTGCTTGACATTGGCAGGTGTTGGCCACTCTAAAACAGCCTGTACTTTGTGTTTATCCATAGTGACTCTGTGTCCCGATACCGTGTGACCCAAGTACTCTACTTCATTCAGACCAAAAGAGCACTTAGACAATTTTACAAACAATTTGCGGTCATTGAGAAGCTGAAGCGCCACCTGTAGATGTTCAAGATGTGTGAGCCAAGACGGACTATAAATGAGGATATCGTCAAAGAATACTAACACAAACTTCCGAAGAACAGGCTGAAACACTTGGTTCATCAAACATTGAAAGAGAGCAGGGGCGTTTGAAAGTCCAAACGGCATTACATGCCATTCATAATGACCATGCTGCGTACGAAATGTTGTTTTGTGTCGATCCGCTGGGTTCATCAAGATTTGATGATAACCTGATCTCAAATCTAATTTGGAAAATAATTTCGCGCCGAATACCTCAT